TGAGGGGTTTTCCTTTTGTAGTGATTTTATACATTGTGCTGAGGGAGCAAATGGGAAGCAAGAGGATTGTGGCAGCTGTCAGAGGGAAAATGGAAATGTGGGGACTCTTTCTGTCTCCATTCATTGAAAGAGAGAGAGACATTTGACTTTTTGCCATATTATCTATCCATTATCATCCCAGAGATTGCAAAATGCAAAGGAACGTGTTAAGTAGAAATAGAGGGCTGCATATTTTGAAATAAGGAAAACTTAGAGTAAAAGCAGATAATTGCAAAGTGAGGGGACATTAAAAATTACGAATAATGTGGCCTGGATATTCTGGATATTTATGAATTTTGGAAAATAGAGCAGTGAATGGTTTTGTTTTGAACTTTGAGATGCAGGTGTAGTAAATTTTCAGACCTCATTTTTGCATCATGTAAAGCAGGACTTTTTGTCATAGGGACAAAAAAAGTGAGCAGTATATCGTTAGGGAAGAAGACAGAGAAAAAGAGGTGAGTGTGAGTGTGACGAGGCACTGATGTGCATACCACTGGCAGCAATGTGGGGTGGTGATCAGTAGATGGAGTGTACTTGTCAGAATCAAGCCACAGAAGCACAGAAAATAATAATGTGGAAACTTCTTATGCTGATGACAGAAGCCAGGTAATTGCATTGAAATTTGTTTCTTTTAATATTTTATTTTTGTTAGTATATGTTTGATGTACATGATTATATTCACTGTATGAAATTGGTAAATGTACATAACACATTTATTTTGATTCTATTTTTCCCTTCCTCCCCCCCTTTTCTAGCATCAGATTCATTTATTTATCTTATAAGGCCTTATAATATTAATTATATGTATCAGATTGCAAACCACACTAATAGGCCAAAGAACATAAGAAACATGTAAGAAAATTGTACTTAGTGAAGATATACTTTTAGATGCTTGTCTGTATTCAATTACAATATCTAATTTTAGTTTTCTGAGGAATCTCCACACTGATTTCTATGATGTTGTACTAATTTACATTCTTTCTATCAGTGTAGAAGGGGCCAATTTTCTCTGCAGCCTCACCAGCATTTATTATTGATTTCTTGATGTTGGCCATTCTTTCTGGAGTAAGATGGAGTCTAAGTATTGTTTTAATTAACTTTTCTCGAATAGCCAGAGTTGTACACTTTTTCATGTTTTCATTGGCCTTTTGTACTTCTTCTTTTGACAAGTGTTTATTCATTTCACCTGCCTATTTTTGGAATGGGTCTTTTTTGGGAGGTCTGTTTTGTTTTTGAGTTCTTTATATATTCTAATATTAGTCCTCTGTCCAAGGAATAGCTGGTTAGTCTTCTTTGCCTCATCTAATACTTCTTGGATACATTTTCTCCACTCCTCTGATTTTAAGGTATCTCTGAGTATTTGTCTCATTCATCAGCCCTATCTTCTAGATCAGATATTCTCACTTGTGCTACTCATATATTTCACAGACTTCCTTATCTTGGGGATTTGTGTTTGGCATCTTTTCATGAACTATTTCTTTGGTAAATTTATGTTTCATATTTTGAATGGTTTGGGTAAGGCCTTCTCCTTTTTAATATTAGTCTTTCTTGTAATCATTGGTCAGTTTGCTTAATTTCAGTATCTCTTTGGCTGCACCACTTTTGAATTTGCTGCCTTTCTTTGCTTCCTATTTGAACATTTCATATGATTCAGACAGTTGGTGTTTTATTCCTCTCCCTTGTTGCCTTTTGGATCTACTGTAGGGGGGCTGGGAGGTTTGAAAGCATTTTTGGCCTTGTTTTGTTGAATTTCTCTATTTTTTTTTTTTTTTTCTGTGCTGAGGGTTGAGATCAAGTAGAATGAAGAGACTTTGTTGTTGGTATGAAGATCTTCTTAGTTAGATTATGGTTTCCAGTGATCTTATCTTGGCTTTATTTACCAAGCGATACTGTCTACCACTTTGACCTATTGTGTTTTATGGGACTGGACCCAAACTGATGTGGCAAAGAGAGGATTGCTGTTCATTTTAACAGCATCAACAGATCCAGCCATACATGAGTCACGAACATTAAAACTTGACTTTACAATTTTGTCCTTTTATGAATGCCCCTTATGGAATATATTCTACAGCATGAATGGTTAGGCTGGGATGTGATGGGATAGGGGAACAAAAGAGGAAGGGGGAGAGCAGGGGGTTAAGTCAGTAAGAATAGGTGGAGAGAGCAGAAGTACCTTCACCTCAAAGACAGACGGGAAATTGGACTCTTTTGTACTTTTGGATTTGGGCTAGTGGTGAGGGGTTTGGAGAGAATATTAGCGCAGGCAGAAGGAGGGGTGCAGAGGAAAGTAGGTGTGACAAGATATTGAGGGAAGCTGTGAGTTGTTGGAACTCGTTTGTATGTTTGCTATTGTTTTGTTTAGATCCTCTGTGCACACTTTTGGTAAGGGTAACCCTCACCTGTCCGAGAAGGGTACCATGGATCGTGGTGACTCTGAATCCACCTCTCGGCTCAAAGGTGTGCTCTGGGAGTACTTAACTGCAGGTCTTTGCTTCTTTCCCAAGATCGAATCGCCTCAGCTGATTTGGGAAGAGGAGAATGTGGTATAGCTTGCTCGGCACCAGCTTTCCTGTTTACTTCTTCTAGGGACCCCTTACCTGCTCCCTTCACTGCAGGGCGAATCCTGTTGGCATCTCTGCCTTTTCCCTCCACCGGCCTTTTACCTGTGAGGCACCAGAAACCTCTGACTCAGGCACCACATTCCGTCTGCTGTCAGCCACTGTCCAAAGAGCTTCACGCTCTAACCTGCAGAACTTGGCACAGCCCCTAGGCTGCCGGTCTTCTGTGCTGTCCTAAGCGTGGATGTTGGTGCTTCCCAGAGGCTCCCTCCAGTGGGACGGGGTAGTGCCCCCGAGGTCTCCCCAACACAGCACCCCCAGTGTCCGTGGTAGGGATGAGCAAGTAATTGCATCAGGTCTGTCAAGCCTTCCTTTTCCCAAAAGGCCCTCCGCACCCAGGTGCAACTCTTTCATGTAGCGCGGGGGTCTCGTCCTATCATTGCTTGGATTCAGGTCCCTCATATCAACAGCGCATTTGTTGTCAAATTCTGCAGTCCCCCTCTGGTGTCTTGAATATACCTCTCTCTGGCTTTTCTCAAGCCCTGGTTTTCAAATATGTCCTTTGCATCGTGCCTCTTCCTGCTCGGAAGGTTAGTGTGATTCTGAGCCTATTCTGATGGTGAGGCCACTGCTGAGGAGTGGATGCCCTCCCTCAGGTAGTCTGATCTCTTCTCAGGATGGCATATACCCCTTCTCTGAACTGAATGGTGTGCCGTAGCAGCCTGTATTTACCTTCCTACTTCTCTTCATGCTGGGTTTTGGTCCACTGAGTTTTTCTTTGCATTTGTCCTCTCAAATATGAGAGGCCCCTGTGGCCTTTGCCTTAGGGTACTTGCCTTTTTCTGGTTCATGAGCCGGAGTCTCCTTCCCTTCCTTCTGTGTCCCAGCTGGCCATCAGGATTTCTTGCATTGACTTCAAAGACAGAATTTACCCCATCCTGCATGCACAGAGTCATAAAGATCATTATCATTGAAGTAGTTTTGGAACATTCATGCATGGAGAGAGAGGGGCCTGGCCTGCCTCATGTCTGATTGACTTTTCCAGTGGAAATTAGGTATTATGATGATACTATATTCAAGAAATATGTAATTGAATCCATATTATAATTAATAAATACAGCTTTCTGAAACAAAATCAAGGAAAGTTGTATGTAGAGAAATTTTCTTATAAATCCTTTTAGGTTCACCGATATATTATTTAAGGCTCACTGAGCTGATTAGTAAATGTTTATATTTTTATAAAATGTTGAATGAAAGGTTGCAGTCATTTTCATATTCACCACCCTCCCTTACTTCCTCATGATATGAATTACTAACACCTTTTCTTTCAGTGTTATGATTTGCTTCTTTAGCTCTTTGAAAATTTGTTTTTCTTTTACATTGTCATAAATTGATGACTCCAGAGTTTCTCTGTGGGGCGTAGTCCTCATACTTTGCACTCAAATGAGCTTTTAAACACTCATTGTCTGAGTGTCATTTTAACAGGGGGCTCACAGAATAATAGACCCAAGGGAAGACAAGTTGGGAAGCACAGGGAAGTGACTACAGGGGAAGGTGGGGAAGAGAAGGCCCCCTGGACAGGAGACTGGTGTTTCAGGTGCTCACCAAAGCTGTCGAGAGCAAGGCACCCTCTGCCTTTGGTTCCTTTCACCTGTAGAGTAAGAGGCATTTCTGTACTTACACAGTGACAAGAGGCAGGGGTGGGTGGAGAGTAGGAACACAGGCACCTGTGTGTCTGTGTTCATCACGTACAGGACATGTGGTGTCCACTGCTAAGCCTAACACAACCTGTTGTTTCCTATTTGCTGTAAGTAAGTCCTAGTGTCCTTGCTTAAATTGATGCTTCAAGAAGTAAGTGCCTCAGATTTCACACCCATGGAACTAACAGGAGTGGAATTTGATTCTGTGTGAATAGAAATTTCTAAACTTTTATTTATTTATTTATTTATTTATTTATTTATTTATTTATTTGTTTGTTACCAGGGATCAAACTGGGGACTTGGCGGCAGAACCACTGAGCTAAATCCCCAGCCTTTCAAACTTTTTAATGTGGGTTTAACATGAGATTATTGTTATTAAGCTCCCTGTTTAGAGTTGGGCCCACTGTAGTGCTTTCTGTGTAGCTAGCGTAGAGGCATTCTGTAGGGAGCGGGCCTTCCAACACTGAACTTGGCTCAGCCCTGCAAGCCCCTGCTGGCCTCCAGGTGCAGGTGTTCATCCAGGGAACCCAGTGTCACCCAAACGGACCCTGGCTTTGAAATTTACAGACTCATGTCTAAAAGCTGCTGTAAGAGAGCCAAGGGGAGAATATTAGCAGTTTTGAAACAGAAAGGGAAAAAAGGCTCATAAAGAGAACTTTATTAAAGTCATCAAATTCTGTAAGGTTGAAAAACATACCGCATGTCAGAATACTATAAAAAATGAGTGCCAGCAGTCATCTGTTTTCTTCTTTTGTTTTGTTTATGCCCAGGGATTTCATATTTGATCATTTTTCTTTTAACAGAGGGATAAGCTATTAAGAATCACAGTACCTGCAAAAGTGAAATTAGAAAGAATGAGATAAAGTTGAGGGGCTGGATATTTTTTTCTTCCTTTTCCTGCATACTATATCATCAAAGTCAATTTGGCGTAGTTTTAGTGATGTACAATGATGTACAGCTGAGGAACAAGGAAATATGTCAAGAAAATAAATTCAGCTGCAGGATTCCACCTTGGAAGGAAGCAAATGAAAAGGAAGAGACTACCTGAAGGGAATTCAGCTCCAGGTTATACATTTGCAAGCCAAAAGGAGTTCTGGGATTGGGATTATCCAGAACACACTTGCCTGAATCAACAGAGATACCTTTAAGGATGACCACGTACAAGTCTTTGGGTCCCGGGGGAAGAGTTTGTGGATCACATATTTCAATTCTCTATGTTTTATTGTCTGATTTTCATCACCAATCACTTTTACTAGATGAGCGAGACTCAAAAGTCTCCAGGTGATTCTGATGTGGGGGTCTTGGAATATATATATATATACACACACACACACACACACACATTGAATTGAACTATATATATATATATGTATAAATGTATATATATACATATATATATATATACACACATTGAATTGAACTGTATATGTATGTATACATACTACAGTGGAAGTTAACTTGCTTCCCCAAGAAAATTCTGGACTCCAGAGAGAGGCTCTGCACTTACTTATGGAAGAGTCACTTTCCTTCACACAGGGACTCTTGAAGAGGAATTTGGGAGTGTTACTGAATCTGTTTTTGAATGTTGAAAACTGTGAGAAATGTGAAGGAATTCTCTGCAAACTTGCAAAAATATAGAACTAGGTCGTTTTGGCTGTGAGTTTAACCAAACTAGAGACAAAGCTCTGTGTCTCTAAGATGAAGTACAGAGGAGCTGGGGGAGGGGGTGACAGGCTACTGGGAGCCAGATTTTTCAATTGTGTATTCAATATTAGTGGGTATATTAGAGCTGCCTGTTGGGACAAGCACCATAGCTATTTGGTGGCTCTTTCATATATTTCTAGATATGTTCCAAATGTGAATGCATGTTTTTGGATATATTTTAAACCAAAATATTTATTTTATATATACTAGCTGGGGGAGGGGGTGACAGGCTACTGGGAGCCAGATTTTTCAATTGTGTATTCAATATTAGTGGGTATATTAGAGCTGCCTGTTGGGACAAGCACCATAGCTATTTGGTGGCTCTTTCATATATTTCTAGATATGTTCCAAATGTGAATGCATGTTTTTGGATATATTTTAAACCAAAATATTTATTTTATATATACTCTAAATATATATATATATTATATATATATGTATATATTTCCTCAATAAGTTATAGTTACTAACTGGTGCTGCATCCATGACCAAAATCATGTGGCCTTTCCCTACATTAGACATACTTTGATTCCTCACAGAGTGCCAGGAAAGGTTGCTCGGGTCCTGTGCTTATTATTCATGGAAGTGATGGGAGGTTTGTACTACATTTAGCACTACTTTAAATACAAGAAAAGTGAGAACCAGAGATGTTAGCCCTCTGCCCATGTTCACACAGAGATCCCTGAGAGGACTGGGACGTGGGATTCAGGCCTTTCTGTTGCTTTTATGGGAGGTCTGTGGACAAAGAAACTGTATCAGGTTGTCAGGTCAGTTCTGTAGATAGTCACCAGGATGCACAGGCCAGGACAATTGATCAGCTCTATGATTGATTTAGTAAGCTTGATTTCTCCTACCTAATACTTACCCGAAGATACCCACATGTCCTTAATTGCTTGAGCATTTAATTCCAGAAAAGTATCTTGGGTTTGCCTTGCCAACCTGAATATCACAAAAATATAGGTTACTTTCTATAATAGAGGTCCAGCTGTGGCAGGAGATGGGAGGGTATATTTAATTATTTTATTAGAGGTTGATGGCGATAGAGGACTGGGATGGAGGTAAGGAAACTTGTAAAACACACACACATACACAAACACATGCATGTATAAACACACATGCATGTATATTTAAACTGTCATTTTAAGTGTACAGTGGGCCACTTAATCCTCAGAGGAAGTAACTTTGGCTTAATGAGAACTGAAGGAATGAATTCATTTAAGAGCTGGATTAGTTTGCTACCCCTCAACCCCTTGCCAAGTTTTTGTAAGTGGGGTGTACCCCACTCCTAGCACAGAGCCCTCCACTCTGATCTGATGTACTCTTCTGGGTCCTCAGTTAAGCAGGAATACCAGCTGTGCCTGCTGAGCACCTGCCTGGCTATCCTCCTTTTCCTGTTTTCTTAATCACAGAGGCCAGGCCCTGTGGGAAATCAGTGTGACCAGGAAGTCGTCCTGCAGTCATCTTAGTGTTGGTTCTGTTGATGTCCACAGAGGGACCACTAGTGAGCATTCCTGGGGCAGGACTTTGGATTCCCCAGATTCAGCTTCAAGTGTGTTCCTCCTGTGTTTGCTGAAAACTAGCTTCTCTTTAATATGAGTTATTCCTACAGGGGCCTGAAGTCCAGTGAATTGGGATTAGGGTATGCAATGTTACAGAGACTGGAGAATTTGGAAATAGGAGCTCATCTTTTATTTATATGTTTTTGCAATGGAGACTTTATGTGAGCTTTACCATTTTCTTTAGTTTTATCTCAGTTTTCTTTTATTTTGTGTATTAAGTAAAATGAGATTCCACTCCTTTCACTGAAAGTATCTAACATATAATTCCTTCTTCGTGAAGTTACCTTATCTTCCTGTCCATCCTTGCACCTCTTTATTCTTCAAATATAAAAATGTAGAAAAAAAAGATGGTTTTCATCTAATGATGATGTTATCTCCCTTGCTTCACATTCCTCATATTTTCAGTAATTTTTGTTAAACGGTTTTTTGAATACCTTGCTGTATTGTTTACTGTTAATCACTTTGAGATGTTTTAAGATTCCTCTTTACTAATCTTCCTATCCCTTCATTTTACTCCTTTCCCTCCCCTCTCCTTCCTTTTTCTGTTTCAAGAAGAAAGAGCTAAGAGGGTTTCTGAGGAGAAACGTCACCAGCACAGAGGACTCCTGCTCTGCCTGGGGTCCCCCAGTGTTAAGCCTAGTGAATCCCTCCCTGCTGGAGCAGCCCTTTTTATTATACACAGGATGCCCGGATGTCCTTGTATGTGTAGGACGATCATAGTTTGTGCTTGTCGTCTCAGTAGAGTTATATTTCCTGTTTGATCTTTCATTCTCTGCAATGTGTTGTTCTGGACAACAGTTTGTGACCCCAAAGCAGGGCGCTAGCCTCCTATTTCATACTGAGCTAGCGCCTTGAGGACCTTGGGATAAAGGTTCATTCCTCTATTTCACCACGCGCTGTGCACAGAATGGGAAGAAAAGCTGCTTCAAAATGTGACTGAGGCGGAATCGCACACCACCTAGGCTGGAGTCCCAGTACTCGCTCCCCCCAGTGTGCAGGCTGAATGTCTAACAATGATTGTTTAAGCTGCATTAGATGCCTTTGCCACATCCTCTTGATCTAATCGGGCCTGTAATTATAGAGGAAGGACAAAGTGGTTCTGCAGAGATGTTCTCTGTTGGAAGCACAGCAACAAGTCAGACCTGGCATCTCTCTCGGTGGGTTTTGAGCATGCTCATTCACGACTGGGTGAAAAAGCTGCTCCTCTCATTGGTGCTCACAGTGCCCCGAGCCCGGATGCAGAAGAGTCTGCTGATTTGTTCAGGTTCACAGCCTCAGCCCCCAGCCTCACAGGAACTGAGAACAAAGGCGATTCTGACAGAGGAGCTCCTGGGTGTTCACAGTCCAGTAAAGCGCTGACTCTTAGGATATCGCTGCCTTTGCAGGCCCCTCTGTTCGTCCTCCATTTCTTCCATTTCCCTTCCTTTCCTCCCGTAACTGATTCATACTCATAAGTAATTCTCCAAACAATCTCATGTGTACTTCTTTCTTCAGTACCCACTTTAGAGACAAGGAAAGCCAGCCTGAAGAACAACTGAGCAGCTGATAGATCTGGGATGCTTCTGCTCCTGCTGATCACCATAGTATATGATTACCGTGCTGCGGTACCTCCTGAGGGAGAGGACCACAGGCCAAAAAGCCACCCACGGGAGTGACAGCGGTGGGGCTGAGCAGGTCACTGCTCTGGTTCACTGTCACACTGCAGAAGCGGGCACAGCTTTCTGGACTAATAGGAACAGAGATGCTTTAGGGGAGCAGAGTGACTGTGTGATTCTAGCACCATGTGGCTTGACCAATTTACAGTTGATGTTGATGTAAGGCCATGGAGCATTTTCTTCCGGGGTAGATATGCTCGGTATTCAAAGTAAAGTTCAGGGTCACAAAGTGCTATTTAGCAAAGCAACATTATAGCAGTGGTGAAAAAATTATTCCCCTTTGTCATTAATTCCGGTGCTTTTCTTCAGGACCTTAATTTGGACTCAGGGCTTCCCCATTAACTATATAAATGGGATTAATGACTTGATTCCAGCAGAGAACATAAAGCACTTAAGGAACTATTTCTGCCAGATGACACATTATTATTACCACCAAGAGGTGGGAATATTAGCATTTATATAGGCCTTTACTTGCAGAGACTATTCTGATGACTTATTCACACACACATATTATAATCCTAATGATCATTTGGTGCCACCCCATTTGTCATGCTTGTATATGTTTGCAATATTAAAAAATGTGTAATACTAGGGACAAATAATGTCCATAGAAGCCTGCAAGCACTCTTCCTGTGTCATGCATAGAAGAGTTGTTTCCCTACTCAGGATCCTGACACAAGTCGCCCAAGGCTTCTTTAGGTGTGTTTGGGTTCAGAGATCAGCTTGTTCCCTCTTGGTGGAACGTTTAATGACATGTATTTCTGACTTACTAGGGAGTCTTCTATGGAGTGTTTCCCTGTTGGGTACCAGGAGAGTAATGGAGTTGGAGTGGAAATGACCTTTATTTCTAGTTAGAAATTTAAAAATACTTTGTCCTCTCTACTTGCATAGTCTTTTAATGCCTTAAGCTGACCGATTTTTAAAGTTATTTGATATTTAATTGACCACAACAGTCAAGTTAGTTTGGTGTCATGCAGGTAGATGCTGGTTTGCCCTTGGTCCCGTACTTTTCAATACATTGTCATTTCTAAGATCTTGATTTTCTGATTTTCTGTCTCATAGGTTAAAGATTGATCATGACAACAATAACCAAAAATGAAATTATTATTAAACAGTTGAACAACAAACATGAGCTATGGACTTAAAATTCATCACCAAATTTACTTCTCACATTAGTGCTGTGAAGTAGAGTCTATTATTCCTAATTTAGAGAGAATGGTGCTGAGACAAAGGGCTTGATTTTCCCACTTAATCCAACTAGTGTTCAACATGGCATTCCAATCCAGCTGTTCATCTTCAATTATACCCCATATTGCAACTTAAACCCAGTGAGTCTCACAGTCTGTGGAGAATTTTGGGACGCTTCTTGAAAACAGTTGCATGTAATTTAGTTTAACCTATGGGGTTTTGTGAGCATTCTTGAATTCCATCCCCCCATACCCAGTATTGGCACGTTCATTTCTGTTTTACTATAAGCAGTAACTAATACTCACAGAGAAATTTTTACATGTTAAGCTTTCTTTTACATTAACTTAGTACTCATGTGACTTTGTCTTTAATGTATGGACGATGAAATAAACTTCAGAAATAGCTTCCCACATCTACTGTAGCTATTAAGCACCTGAGGTAGAATAGAAACCTTTTGTATTTCAATATATAGGCCTGTAGATTTCTGTCTTGCAGTATACTTGTCAGCAACAGAGAACTCAGCACTTTCTCTGTATCTTCGCTCCTGTTTTCTAGTTGTGGTATGCATTTCAGATTGGTCTTCCCACCGGGGCTGTACCCCAGGGCATCCATCTCTACAACTTCAGAATCGACCTAGTTGGGAGCACAAGAACGGTTCTGAGGTGGTGTTCTCTGTCCACACTTCCACTGTACATCAGCTCTCAGGCACTGCATAGACAAGCTGTACTTTTGTTACCCCCCTCCCTACTCTGCTCCAGCCTGGCTTCTGGGAAAAAAGGGCTTCATGTTTTTCCTCTGAACTCTAGACCCCTAAATTGTAATTGACAACAATAGGTAATATCATATGCCTAACATAAATTCTGAAGCAATTGGCCCTGTTGTAATATGGCTCATGGTCTTTTCTGGCAGTCACTTTGCTTGAGTAAATTTGATAAGAATAAAAATATAATTGGCTTGGCTGCTGTCTGTGTTCCTGTACTTGGCTTCTACCCATGATCAAAGCAGCCCTAGACCATTAGAAAATACACTGTCTTCCATTTGGCAAACATAAAGCCTGACATATTAAAGTTTCTTAATGGGAAAAAAGCTCTCAAATCCCAGACTGTTATGGTTTTGGCTGATTTAATCAAATGAACTCCCCCTGCTTTCTGTCTGTCTTTCTTCCTTTTGGTCAGGGAGCTGCCAAAGTTAGATAGCATGGTGAAAATAAAGATAGCTAAGTCACATTCTGAATTCTTGAGTCTTCTCTGTCCCTAAACCCGTGTACCATGACCTGGGTCACACAGCTGTACGTGTACACACACAGATGTGTGTCTTCCTGGACATTCCTAGTATTTCTTCTTTGCCTTTCTTGACATGTGAATGTAGGAAGGAAATAGCTCCAGAAGAAAGAAATCAAAATTTTTAGCTTCCTCTAACATATGACCTAGTTCCCTATAGCAGAAAAAGCATTTGGAACAAAAGTACAGGTGTTGAACTTAGCTTGACTAATTACCTTTTTACCTCAATTTCTTTTCCTATCAGTATAGTTTCTTTG